TAACACTATATGCAATATAATTGAAAAGGGTTGATGTTGATATTAAGTTGCCGAATGGAACAGTATGGAAGCTTACTGAAGTGAGACATGTTTCAAGTTTGAAGATAAATCTTTTCTCTGTGAGCAAGCTGACAAAGTCAGGACTCGTGACTACTTTCATAAGTGATTGTGAAAGGCGACCAATGGGGCATTAGTGATGAATCAGAGCAAAATTGAATATATCATTTATTTGACCAATGAAATAATTTATTTTATTGATGTGACTGAAGCAAGGGTGAATGCAGTTCTGTGGCATCGTAGGCTTGGCCATATGAGCGAGAAAAAAATATGAAGTTCTTAATTTCAAAGAGTAAGTTTCAATGTCTGAAACTAATTGATTTGGATTTCTATGAAGGTTGTATATATGACACACATAAAATTTTTTTTTTAAGAGCAGGTTAGTGGTGAAATCAAAGAAACTGGAGTTAGTACATACTGCCATATGGAGTTCTACTCCAGTTCAACCCATTGGAGGCTGTCACTATTGTCACATTCATTGACGATCACACGAGAAAATATGAGTTTATTTCTTAAAGCAAAAATCTAACATGTTTGAAGTTTTTAAGAAGTGGAAGACTGGTAGAAAGTGAGACAGACTTGAAGTTGAAGTGTCTCGAATCAGATAATGGGTGTGAGTACCGTGATCAAAAGTTTAGGAGTTTCTGGGCTACAGAGGGGTCAGACATGAGTTCACGGTCCCAAGGACACCGCCACATAATGGTGTGGCTGAGCGCATGGACAAAACAATCACGGAGCGTGCTAGGAGCATAAGACTGCTTGCAAGCTTACCAAAACGGTTTTGAGTTGAAGCAGTTAACACTGCACTTTATCTGATAAATTGTAGTCCATCAGGACCTTTGAAGGAAGACTTAGTTGAAGAAGTCTGGAGTGACAAAAATTTGTCTATCTCATTTAAGAATATTTGAGTGTTTTGCATTTGTCGTGTTTATTATAAGGGCAGATATGGAGAAAATCAGGGAATTGGAGAAACAATTATCAAGTGAGTTGGATATGAAAGATTTAGATTCAACCAGAAAGATTATCGGGATGAGAATCAGTAAAGACAAAAGTGTGGAAACACTGAAGTTGTCTCATGCAAAGTACGTTGAGAAGATCCTACAGAGGTTCAACATGAGTGAGGCGAAATCAGTTTGTACTCCCTTAGATAGTCACTTCAAATTATGTAAGGAGCTATCGCCAAACTCTGAAGCAGAGCAAGTACAAACGAAGATAACTCTGTATGTTTCAATAGTTGAGAAGTTTGATGTATGCGATGATTTATACCAGACCAGATATTGCATGTGCAGTGGGAGTAGTCAACATGTACATGAGCATTCCAGGTAGGCATCATTAGGAAGCGGTAAAGTGGATTATCAGGTATTTAAGGGGAATGGTCAATAAGACACTTTGTTATGAAAATACAGAGATTAATTTACAGGGATTCGTAGATTCAGATCTGATAGGAGATGTTGATAATAGGAGAAGTACAACATGGTATATTTCACATGGGAGAACACAAAAGTGAGTTGGGTTTCCAAGTTACAGAAGATTGTTGCACTTTCAACTACGGAGGTCGAATATATTAGTATCACTGAGGTTAGCAAGGGGATGATTTGGTAACAGAACTTCATGGTAGAATTTGGCAAGGAGCAGGGGACTGAAAAACGTTTTAGCAACAATATGAGTGTGATTCATCTTGCTAAGAATGCTGCTTTTCATGCAAGGACGAAACACATCCAACAAAACACATTCAACACATGTATCATTTCATTCGATTTCTTCTAGAAGATGGACAATTATATCCGGAAAAGATACATTCAACTGAAAATCTTGCGGATATGTTGACGAAGGTGGTGAATTTTGAAAAACAGAATCTGTGCTTGGCTCAGTTGAGTTTCATAATGGTTGAGACCAGGGTTAAGCCACACCACAATACGTCGCCAAGATACATGTCTATGAAGACGATTCAGATGCAGGTACAGAGGATTTGTGCTCGGTGCTGCTTTTAAGTGGGAGATTATTACGGTGTGTGGAGCCAAAACATTCCAAGCAGTAAGAGATAGTCATGGGCGCTCAAGCGCTCAATAAGGGTTTGGCTATAGTGGAGCTGACGCTTTGGCGCCTTTTTTGGGCTTGGCGCCCAAGCACTCATTTCTTGGCGCCGATACAGAGCGCTCGGCGCTTAGGCTCCAATTTTGGGCACCTAAGCTGCTAGTATTTTTAGTACACGGGATTTCGATTTTTAAGTCGAATTTGAGCATGGAAAAGGATGAGCTTGTTATTTCTTTTTTCTGTTTTCTTCGACAAGCATTCCGGTGAAGATAAAGAGTGTCAAAGAGGTGGATTTTGGTGATTCAACGTGATTTTTTTTGCATCAGATTAGAGAGGAAATATTGTTGGTACAAGTCCTGTAAGTTTCTTCATGTGAGTGTGGAGAAGAAACTTGTGTGAGTTGTTTATAAAACTTTTTGAATTACATAGTGAAATTTGTGGTGGTGTGGTTTCGTGTTTTTTTCTTGTTTTCTGGTTTTTTCCACGTAAAATTCTTGTGTGTTTTTTGGTTGTTTTGATTGTGCTTTATTAAATATTTTGTTCCGTTTTTCTCTAATTTTGTGATTCTATTATGCGGCGAAATTAGAAGACGACTCTTTCGGAGTAGTTTTCTTGTCAAAAAATGCATAAGTGGAAAAAGGTAAGCACCATATATTGATGGGTAAGCTTATCTGTCTATCACACATTAAACCCGACATCTCTTACTGGTTGACATAGTTAGTCAGTACTTGAACAATCTGAATGAAGGTTATTTAGAGATTCTGTACAAAATATTAAGAATTTTTGAGAAAACTGCTGAAAGAGTATTATTTCTTAAGCAATTTGACAACTGAGTTATAGAGGTGTATATTGATGTTGGCTGAGCAGAAGAACCTACAAACAGAAGATCCACCTCTAGTTATTGTTCTATGTCTGGGGAAATCTATTTACATGAAAGAGCAAGAACCAATTATGGCCTTTAGAAGAAACGCAAAATTTGAGTATCAGACTTTTGCTTTGGTAATTTTTGAAGGAATGTGGATTCAAAGTGTATTAAATGAGTTGGGATACTCCACGATTAATCCCATAGAAATATTTTGTGATAGCCAAGCCGCTGTCAATATTGCAAAGAAATCTATACAGCATGATAGAACCAAACACATTCATATTTATAGATATTTTATCTCTGAGAAGGTCAACGGAGGCGTTATTTACTTAATTTATATTCTGACTCATATTCAAGTTGCTTATGTCTTCAAGAAATCTATACCTCCAAGCAGCTTCACGGATTTGAACACCAAGCTAGATCTCTACAATCTATGACCTAACTTGAGGGTAGTATGGAATTCTATGTTTTCTATATAAATTTATCTTCCTTTATTCTCTATTTTTTTGTTTGGAGTTTTTTTTCTTGTGTGTTTATTGTATCTTTGGTAAGTTGTAATTGTAGGAATTATGTTTGACGTAGAGTTTGCTTTTTATATAGTGAGATAGTTGTAATTTGAAGATTGAAGGAATAAGAGAATTCTTCCTCTCTTGTTTTCCTTCAAGATGTTCAAAATCATGCACCCAAAATTAATTTTTCAATTTACAAACTTTTAATTTAGACTCCTTTTTGTACGTGAAAATTAAAAATATGAAGGATTTGACGATTGATAATTCGGTAGTAGTCTTACAAAAATGGTACAGGGAAATTTAGAAGTATGAAAATAACACGTTTGATTGATGATCATATTGTAATCGAAAAATATGTTGTTATAAATTTGATAAATAATTCAACTACCCGATCAAACCAAATACTAAAAATTAGAGAATATAATATGAAATGTTAAGATACCACTAAATTAAACTTGGAGTCATGACGTTTCAAGGAGCTAACTTCTCTTAAGCTTTCTTTCTTCAATTGAACTGGGAGAATGCTAGAAGGAATTGTATCCACAAAGTTGAAATTAAACTGAAATACCCTTTTTGTGCAGAGCCTAATTTTTATAATCATTGAACCCTCCCTTTCCATTTTAATAATTAGAAGAAAAATCAATGACCTGTACAAAATGAGCAAATTGCGAAGACTCACATAAAAGCAGTAATTGCATCACATATCTCCACAAGTAAGGGATGCAAGGACCAGACTAAGCGATCAAATCACAAGGGAGCTAAATTGGAGTCATCTAACATTGTCAAACCTTGAAACATAGCTATAATTGAAGAAAATTCTCTAAAAAATTGTGAAGGGTCGAAATTGAAGGCTAGAAATGTGGAAATTTCCTAAGAAAGGGATAATTAGGAACCTGGAAACCCATAATTAGAGTAACGTGAGGGAACCACGTCAACTTCGAGGAATTGTTTAGTTTACATTCATCAAATAGAACAAAACATAACAATTTTATTTTCTATAGTAAATGCATTAATCATCAACTATAGAATTGCCTTTCCACTTTATTAAAATTAGAACAATTGGCATCCAACCAAAACCCGAGGAAACTGCAAGGCAGCCAAATTGCAGGGAAGCTGAGACAGATGCAACTGCAGAATGTCAGGAAATCTCATAACCGATCACAACAGAAGCCGAGACTAAAGGCAGGGAACAAGGAAATCCTTTACCAGTGGGATAGTAGGTATCCAGAAACCTTCTAACTGAAGCGACTCAAGGGAACCATATCACCACACCTGCCTCCAACCAAACTTGATGCCACTTATATGATTAGCCAGTCGTGTGCCAAAAGTGGAAAGGGGAGATATATTTCTAGCATGAAAATTTGTGTTACATAGTTCAATGAATTAGTTTCGTGTTCCTTTCCCTTAAATTTATACTACTGTATAGTTTTTTTTTTTAAATCCGTATATGAACTTTAGCTTGAAAATGTTTACTTTTTTATTAAAGATCAGAGCTATTATGTGCTTAAAATCATCAGAGTTAATCTCCGTGTCAGGGTGGTCGAGGAAGCCATGGTTCGAGCCATAAAAGCAGTGTCAGCAAGATTTCAAAGCAACTCGCCCGAGACTTTGCAAAACGAACTTTAATCAGATATAATAAGTTTGAGGAAACTGGTCAGAGCTGCTTTAGTGAACCTCCACTGCGAGATGTGCTGTTCTCAGCATTGCAGCACTGTATCGAATCAAGATATTCCGACGGTATTAGCTCTTTCTTATATATCTAAAACTCTTGACATAATCATATTATCATTTTAATGTTAAGATTTTTCAAATAAGGTCATGATTTATTCTTATTTTCATTATCATTTTTTACTGGTTTGTACTTGAATTACTCTTCAAAATCACTCTTTAATTACTGCTTCTAGTGCTCTCTCTTCAGGTTTGGCATCAAACAACGTTGACAGAAATGGACCCAAGTCTGAGAGGGCTCATTTCATTTCATTTCAAGGCCCTTCTAACATGGCGGATCAAGTATTTGTCAAAAATGACCCATTTTCTAATAGAGGGAAGAAAAAAGAGGCTTTACTTGATGACGTTGTCACAAGTGCTGCTTCAAGAGCTGTTTCAACTCCTTATAATATGGTTCCTGTTGGATCAAAATGGAAGAAAACTGATAAAGATAAAGATCATAGCAGAGATGTACTACTAAAAACCCCAGGTGCTAAAGCCGGTCGCCCCTCGTTAAGCGGCAGCAGAGGTGAACGTAAAACAAAGACAAAACCAAAGCAAAAGATTGCCCAATTATCAACCTCTGGAACCGGTCTCAGCAGGCCTTCTGAAACAAGCTTATTAAATTCGGGGCGGCCGTCTTCTGGCACTGCTAATAATGGAGGCATCAATATTAGCAGAATTGAATCAAAACCATCCAACAATGTTTCTTCAGAGTTGTCTAAAGATTTAGAAGACTCCATTTTCACAAGCTTGCCTCTTAGTGGAATGATCATTGATGAATTGGATGTAGCTGCTGGGCTGGGTGGACAGGGTCAGGACATTGGGTCTTGGCTGAATGTTGATGAAGATGCGCTGCAGGATCATGATTTAGTGGGCTTACAGATTCCCATGGATGATCTCTCAGAATTGAAATTGAATTTCTGAAGAATGATTTTATCTCCAGCCTGCCTCTTTGTGTATACTCTTGGAATCTAGAACAGGATATTAGAGCCCCTTCTCATAGTTCTACATACTAACATTCAAAGTGTTAGAATTTGTAACCAACCTGCCTCCACCCCCTTTTTTTCTTTTATTTATTTTTTTTTACTCCATTGCAAAGTTTTGGAATGTTGATTTTTCCTTCATTTGTTGTGAATTTATGTCGTTGTATCAACTTGTAATCCTGATTAAACATTTATCCCATTGAAATGATTTCTACTCAAATTCTTATGTGAATATCTTTGTAGTTTGACTAACCTTTTTATCTTCACTGCCACTGGTTTTATGAGAGGGTGTTTAGGTGTGGATGTACTATGGCTTGATAATTCTTTCAATCTTCAAAGTTTATATTTAACTTATAATTTAATAAAACAATTGAAGATAGCTTAAAAGAATAATTAGTGAAATATGTATCTTCAATCAAATTTGGAGATGTTCTCAACATGATTTTTTTTCAAAAATATTTATGATTTATGTTTGAAAGAAATGATTAATTTAATATCATTGTGAAATATAAGTAATAAAATAATCGTATGTGCATGATAAACATACTTATTAATAAATTTTAATTTTATTTTAGAATATAGTAATGTGAAATCTAATATTTTCTAAAAATCAAGTCATTGAACAAAACCAAAATACCTCATTTTTATGAAATAAATACATACATGACAAATTCATCAAAATGTACATAAAATAATAAATAGATTATTAGAAAAATAAATAAAATTATAGGTTATAGAAATATAGAGACGCTGATTATAATAAATTTATTTGAGTCTATAAATTTATTTTACAGAATTAAATTTCCTCCAATTACTAATGTAAATATGTAATTTATTTGACCGGATCTTTAGCATTCATTACAATCATTTGTCATAAACTTGATTTTGAGCATTAATTGTGCAACATTTAGTATAACCCTAAATAAAGTAAATATAACAGTTGATGTGGCATTTTCTAATTTAAATAACTATTTAAAAATAAATCAATTTAAGAAACAAATTGAAAATATTAACTACATAAAAATTACTTACCTCAAACTATAATACATATTATGCTTTGAATGCTTAGCAGACTCCATCAAATCTTCATTTATATTTCTTTTACAGAGACATTGTATCATACTACTTTATCTATAATTTTAACAAAAATATATAAAAATGTTAAAATTATTATAAAGTACTATAGATGACAAAAAATCCGAGAAAATCTAACCAATCAAAATTAAATAATAATAATAATAAATAAACCCACTAAACCAAAATTTAATTTAGTTTAAATAGGTCTTATCAATACAAATACAACTACTATCAACAACATCAATGCTTCACAGTACATAATGTGGTTGTAGCTATCAAATGTTATAATGAGAGGAAACACAAACATGTACATGGAACCCTACAAAGATAAACAATCAACATAAAAAACACAGAAAATCAAGCCAACATGAGAAACCATCACAAACACAAGATTAGAGTCAAAATTACTATAAAACACATCATTATTCTTAATTGATAATTCTCTCTCGAAATCCATAAATGCAACTAAATACCGGGATTGCACCAATTATAAAATCCTCAATAAATTTTTACCTCCAGACATTAAATGGTTGTGGGTGAGATCTCAGTTGCGTTGCGACGGTATATCATGTCATCAAAATGAAAAATTTTAGAGTTCTTACTCGTAAACGAAGGTTTCACAGTTTTAACTAAGTTCAAATCAGAAGGACTAAAAGGGGACAGGAACAGGACTGAGAATATGCACAAAACCAACTATAGTGAGGTTGAGATCATCTATATAAAGGAAAGAATAAAACTAAATTGGTAACTAGTCATACAAATTTATCAAGCTCTAGGATAACGCGATCTTCCTTTTTTTCGTAGAAACTCTGGAATTTCGAATGTGGTTCCGTCGGCGAGAGACGAGCTCGTGCGCCTACTGTTGCCACGGTGGTCAGCACCACCGCCCAGCTGTGTTCCCTGCAGATCCCATTGCAAGATAATATCATTTAGAAAGATACACATACATAGCAATGAATTCTTATGTATTTTATATATCTAACATGCAAAGTTCAACTTTTGCATACATACCACCTTACCCATGCATGGAAATGTGTGTTTCACTCTTTAAAAGTTAAAATAGCTGTATTGTTTATGTAATATGAATGACTGGCATAAATTTTAAAAAGCTAAGTTTAGGTGTTAGATATGCAAATACATAGAAATTTGGTGGTATGTATGTAAACGGTCCTATAATTTAACAGTAAAGAAAAATGAAGTGGCCAAGTGCACGGAGAGTGCAGAGGATTGATTTAATACCTGGGAAGTGCGGCCATCTGTTTCTTCCTGGCGTTTGAAGCCTGTTGCAATAAGCGTTATGCTCACCTGAATGAAGATTAGTGGGTTATTCTTTAGCTCTGTATCTGATATGTTGGTTCCTAAGAAAGCTTGCACTTGACATATATATATATATATATATATATATATATGCTTATCATAAATAATAAATTTATTCTTAATTTCATAATGAAAAAATATATATATTTTTTCTGAAACATATTTTCTACTTGAAAGCCAAAAGAGCTGTTAAATTATGAACTTCTACTAAATAATCTAACAATATTTAGTAGCATAAATGTTAAGAGATGAATCAGTAGTATAAACATTATCAGATTATTTAATAAAAGTTCATAATTTAAGCAAAACTAGAAGAATGAAATTAGAGCGCCTTACCATTATACATATCCGGCCTTAGTACTTAAGGAGGGTGGACTAATTAATTTTACATGTTACCAACCTAAAACGCATAATCAATGCTGATCTACAACCTTAGAACAATTTGTTGATGAATTTTGACAAATTTTTAAAAAGAAATAAATATTAATCAAACTTGATAGGGGAAAAAAATGACTTCAATAAACCTCGCTGAATAAATTACCTCTGCATACTTTAAAATGAAATTAAATTAAATCAAATTGCTTCAGAAGCCTTTTGATAAATGCCTAAAAATACACATTTGTATTGAATGCTCCTACACTAATAAAATAATGAATCATTTATCTTAATACAAAGATTATTTTAACATCATACTAATTTTTGTAGTGAAATTTAATAGTTTCAGTTTTTCAATGGGATGTATGATTGAACAAAAAGAGTTTATGTGAAACAACACTAAAATCTTCCCTTTTTTTTCGCTAGGGTTTAGTGGACAATTGTCAAAAGAAAAAAATGCATTTCTCAACATTTCCCATGTAAATTCAATCGACTATTAATAATAGAGCAACCAAACACCTATAATGATATTTTGCCAGTAAAATGTATTTGCATCCTTTCCAATTCCATCAAACCAAACAACCTTAAAATTTCAGGTTAAAACTATCAATTCTCTTGAGCCTTTCATAAATCAGCAACCTATATGACTTTAAGAACTTACAAAATTAGTGGATTTACAGATGCATCCAATGCATCAAATGCACAACATATTCAAGTTTGCTATCGGAAAAGATGATAATCGTAATTTTTGATACAAGGATTCTTCCAAATTGCATGAAATTATATACATGAATTGACAATATTTATAAGGTATTTGAACGAATTGTTTTGGGAATTAATTAGACAAAACCAGATGTTTAAGTGAGATTGTAAATGTTATTCAATCATCCTCAACTATTTTCCCTGCTTATGAATGATTAATTTCTTAAAAACTTATTATACTTAAGTCAAAAATAACTTCCATTGCATAAGTAAAATCAACTCTCCTCAGGGTAAATAAATTTCAGAGCATGATGAACAATATTTAAAATGAACTTGCTATAATGCAACTAATGTCTCTATCATCTCAAAGACTGAACAATGACAAAAACTTCAATCATATCCAGACTACCGCTATTTTGCTTTATTCAACTCTCACTGAAAAAGATGAGTGATATTTGTCTTCAGTAAGGATATTACTTATGTCCATGCCGAAAATATCACAGGTCACTTTACAAATTCCAGAAAAGTAAAGGAGTTCCAAGATAGGAGATGTTATTAGGATCTTGATTTGATCAATGGATTTCTGAGAATTAGTCATCCAAACAAATTTCTCCTTGAGAAGATCAATAAGAGAAACTATAATGGAGCAAAATTCTTCTATGAATCTACCTATAGAATGTAGACAACTAATAAAAACTACACAAATACTAATAAAGCAATGATAGACTTAATTTTCTCAAACTTTGGATGGCTGCTAGTTGATGAAACCATAAAACCTAAGCAAGTTGCTACTTTAAATGTAAAGAGAGTTTTTAAGGTTAATGTATATTTTTTTTCTCTTAACTCGATCAAGGCAAATCTAGATAGTGAAGGTGTTATCTCTTATTAGAATTGAAGATCAAAATCTAGTCAAAATGGACAGCAATAACTTACCATTGAAAAACTTAATAACAGAATTCATATTCCTTTCTGATTGTTGGGTGATGAGATTAAACCGCAGAAACAGATTTGAGAGATCCACAACAAAATTTTAAACAGAAGCTCAAAAAATATGAAAATCATAGAAATCACATGATTTAATGTAAAAAAACCCAAGAACGAGAAAAAAAATCACAGATCCATACCACACAAAAACCACTATAATTGCACAAATTATACTACACTCAAGCCTCTCTATAGCTTGAAACTCAATAACACTCTT